ACAAATTAAATCACTTTTTTAATTTAACATTTTCGAAAGATTCTTATTATTTTTCTTCAATTTTGGTTTTCTTATTTGGAAAAAATATTCTCTTGAATATATAAAATAGTATTTCTATAAAAATAAACAATAAAAACAATATTAATGAAGAATCTATCATTTCGAATGTTATTTATTTTAAATTATTCAAATAGAGATTTTATTTTCTATAGTCAAATTTAAAAAAAAAAGAGAATATTTACAATAGATAATGTCTTAATCAAATTAATTTTGCTTTTGAATATTTTATTCTAAAAACAGATTCGTCTAGGAACATAAAAACAAACCATAATTAAATTATCTAACGAAATCATTTCTATAGGTGATAAATCAATATTCAATGATGATAATGTAGATTATTTAGATTCTAATCATCAATGCATAGATGAATAATAGTTCAAATTTTTTGTTTATATCTTACCCTTGAAAATATAGCCAAGGATGATTTTACAAAATCGACTTGAAACACATAATAGATAGATGAACTTTAATGCAAATATTTTATTGGAAAAGTTTCATATCACTTGATTAAGCTTTTTCTTTCCGAAATGTAAACATCACATATGCCCTTTTTATGTGAATGACGGCAAACAAAACTACTTTATCATATGCAGATATTAGAATAGAAACAAGCAAACATATTCAAGACTTTCAGAATCAATTCTTCTTGTTAGTATTTGCTTAATTGAAAGTTTTCATGTCATATTTGCAAAATAATCCATATATATTTATTCTGACAAGAACGAGAAGATTGACTTATCAAATATGATCAATATGCAATATATTTTTATCAATAAGTTAATCATTCAATTTCTTTTTTTTTCTGTTTTTCTAAATCATTGTTAATTATAATCTAAATAATCCATAAGACTCTCGATTCAATTATCTTTTATCAATTTGAAATCTTTTTATTTGTTATTTTCGATTTTTTTTTATCAAAAATCATTGTAAATACTTTGATTTTTCTTATGATTCAATTCAGCAGACTAATTAACTATTCGAAAAAAAAATGACAATCAAACTTAAATAAATTTTCATTGGAAAAAAACTCAATGAAATAATGAAGAACATTTTGAAATGATCATATTAATTATGTTTTAAATCATTGATAAGTCATATTGAAACTCACTTGAATTCATCGCGAAAAAAATAGTAAAACACATGTGTTTGCTACTTTTCATTGTTGTACTTGACGAAGATGCTCGAACATCAATGCACAGAAATATAATAATCGATTTTTTTTTCTCACTATAATAATTCATATATCTATTCAATAAACCATCATCATCATCATCAATTCGGCTCTTCTTTTTTCCCCGAGAAAATCTCACTTTGAATTTTCTTGTAGATTTATGATAAAATCCCTCTTAATAGAATAAATATCGGGAAAAAAAACACGCAAGAATTTACTGTCGTTGAGTCGATTATATGAGTTCTTCCATTGGATAAAACAGTTAATTAGATTTTTATTCTCTTGTCTATTTTATTAATTGATTGTATTAACAGTTGACAAAAGTTTTCTTTTCTGTGTTTACTGCTTGATTCATTGCAATAAACTTATTTCATTAATAGATCAACGTGCTGCATTTACAAAGGAAATACAAAACAATTTTGTTTTTGTTATTTTGTTTACACAATATATATATATATATATGAGTGAAGAGCACAGTCATTGTACCGTTCGAGCAAGCAAATCGATAATAATAAATATAATAATAAGAGACAATGAAGTATTGCATTTGATAGAGCGATGTCTATTGTGTTTGAAAATAATATTTTTCCAACAGTTCTCTATGTCGGAGATGATTTCTATAGGCATTAATCATATATCAATCAGTCTTAGTGTATCAATACTTCAAGAAAATGTCTTATTAGATGAGTTGAAAATGGGGTCAATTTTTTTTGTGGCAAATGGTTTAGTTCTCTCATTGAGTTCTATGAATAACAAAACTTAAAATGTTGTTCTACGTCCAGTTGGCAAATCATTTAATTGTTTTAAATATTCTATGAAATTTTTCTGCCGACGAACTTCATGAAATAGACATTTTTTTACTTCTTAAATTGTTTTTTCATTTATAAAACTTTGTCTATAGTTGAAAGCAAAGTCATATTCTGAAAGTTTTTGAAAAATTCTAGAATTCGAGCTGAAGAAATAATTTAAAAAAATGGCGATGAAATAAAAACGTTATTGATTGATTTTCGATAGATAGCGTGATAAACTATATATTTGACCTGTTGATATAATTTCTCCGAAACTAGACTTGATTTTGTTCATAAATGAATTGCATTTTTTCAGAACTCGAGCGATTTTTAATTGATATGGTGTAAAAAAAACATACAAATTTTGACAGTTGCATATCTCAGAGACAATCGATCGAAAACTTTTGAAATTCTGTTCATCAGCTAGTATCACTGAGACTCCTATCCTGGACAAACTTTTCAAATCGACACTCAACAATAGGATTCATTTAAATGTCAAAATGCTGGTCAAATCTTAACGTCAGTACGGTCTCTTTGGAACCTGTTCTAATCTATACATCTCTTAGCGTTGGGAAAAATATGGGCTCGAGAGCTTTTAATCATCTCAAAATCTGTTTTTGTTCGTCAAAACCCAAATCCTCTGAGATTTTTTTTAGAACATTATGTAGTGTCTGTAGGCAAAAAAAATGATTAAAATAGGACAGAACTATTTGAGTAGGTCCGTTCGTTAGAGATTGAAAATTAATCCTGTCAATGTACTTTGGTTTAATGCAATGATAATAATTTTTAATATATGCGGAGAGATTGATGGCTCTCCAATAGGGTTATCATAATATTCACTTTCATAACCTTTGAAAACAAAATTAAAAAAAAGATACTTTCCATATCTATTCAATTTACCGGAAAACAAAGACAACCAGTTAATCGATAACCAAAACTTTCATCAACATGATAAACACATTTACCATGTACATAATAACATTGTGAAACATTTTCACGTTTAGCAACAATAGCTTTAGAGAAAAAAAAAGTATTCATATTATTTTGCTTTTCTTTAAATTTTTATATACATACATCTATTACATGTTCGACTATCTTCTTGAATGTTTGTATTAAATGGACATAAACATTCAGACTGATTTAATGCTTTTAAAATACATCAATATGAACAATTAATTATTGCACACGGATTTGACACTAAAACATTCAAAATTACTTTTTCTCGTTTTTTTTACTTACTAATTTCTGTTCTTCTACAACCTGATTGAATTTTTTTTTAATGCATGATAAATTACTATGAATAAAGATAATTCTAATTTATCAATAATAAGAGTTGATATTTCACTAACTAGAATCAGAACGCGACATATATGGTTTTGTAGAGTTTCTTGGGATGCATCAAATCATATATAAGAAATCAATCTTTTCTCAAATTTTCATTTCCTGATGGCTCATATACTGGTGATAATATTTAAGGAACATATATAAATGATATTCGTAAACTGTGTGGATCTCTATGATGATGTAGGATAAGTTTATGCCAATTTCGTTTTCAAGCTCAATTCGAAATCAAATTTTTATAATCAATAGTTTTTATTGCTGCTATTCTATAGTTAAAAAGGATTGTTTCTCATAAGTCTAGGCTATTGGTTGACTATATCACACTCCACTGTACTTGATTCTACGCCTCAAAACAATTGATTACCAACGAGAAACTTTCTCAAAAACTGATCACTTTTGATTCCTATATATTTGATAGATAATATCTATCCTGATCTTGCCTGCAAGCTGTTAGAAGTACATAATAGAAAAAACTGCGCAGTATTCCTCACACATTCAATGAATAGAAAACCAAAGGATATAGAATTGGACGATAAATAAAATCTTTTCTGTAGAACAAATTATGCTTTCAAATCATTTCTGATTTCATTAATGTTGTTCTATGACATTAAGATTGTGTATTTTCAGAAAGAAAGCATACAAGCCTAAAAATGGAAAATATTATTACTGTTGATTAAAAATATTTGCTTATTATCTTTGTCTACTAAATCATATTATTTTAAGTTCACGTAAAACTACAAACAAAATAAAATGAGTTAAAAAAAAGAATCATCTATCATCAAGAGTAGATGGAACCTTTTGAGTTTATTTAAACTCTCAAAGTTGGATGTCATCATGAACCCTTGCAATTAATGCGAAATTAGAATCGATCAAAACAAGTTGTTATCATTGATATGCATCACTGTCATTCAACACAGGATACACTGTATTAATAGGTTCATAATTCTGTTTAAGAAAGACTCAGTTAAAACAGTGAAAATCGAGATATGCAGCAGAAGTTCGTCTTAGAATTAAAACGTTTTATTTTTAAATTAATTATCAAATTTAAAAGTAAAACTTCAAATTTAACAAGTTTATAAAAATGTTTTAAAGCTACAATAACAATTCTAATCAAAATCGATCAATAAAATGCCTAGTTGAATATATTATTTCATACTTACATGATTGATAATCAGTAAATACATATCACTTTTATATCCGATTCCTTTGACATTATATTCAAAGTAAACTCATTGCTATCTATGATAAACATCATTTTATGCTATAAACATGTCTTTCTATTTAATAATATGCCTACTACTTAAGAAATTTCAATAAATTTTTTAATTTGTTGATCAATATCTAATAGATTAAGTTTTTTTTTGCTGAATATCATATTAAATAGTATTCATTTATTAAGTAGAGACCATCATGAAACTTTTCATGTGACTGATTAGATCTACACTAATAAAAAGATGGTGAACAATTCTATATAGTGTTGCTGTATGAAGGTATGAATAAAAAAAATGCCATCTATCGTTGAATGACCTTTACCTGTAGAGTCTTGTTTTTTGATACAAATTGAAAAAAAAAGATGGCTGAGTCATTTATTGAACTCTTTTATATTAGTTTGTTCTTGCTTTTTTTTTGTTCGAAGAACAATGTTAATATTCTTATTTGTATTAACTTTTTTACGATTAACCGGTTTGTCTAATAAATAAAATAAATAAATGTAAAAAGTTAAAAAAGAAATTTGTTGTTTAGTTGGAATAGGTGTATGTACATTTGATCGACCTTTATTGGGTGAATATTATTCATATGAAAATGGCCTTGAAACTCATACATCATTTAAAGAAAATGGAGATATTGATAGACTTTTTTATCGTCGTGAATCAGGTGCTGGTGCAACTAGAAAAGATAGTGGAGGTCTTTTAGTTAGTAAAGATATTGGTGAATGTTTTCAATTAACTCTTAAACGAAATTATTATGAACTTATTTATCGTGACAAGTATTTTGTTTTATTTTATTATTTTATTAAATAAAACATTTTCTTTTTGTCAAGATCTCAATCTTGTTTTCAATGTTATCAAATGTTTAATCGAACAAAAAATATAATTCAAATACGAATAAGTATTTCAACATATTATGTTCTTGGAAAATACAAAATAAAAAATCTTTGCTTGTTTATTTATTTATTATTTAAGGTTCATGTGAAGCAATAACTTCTTTAATAACAAATCAAATGAATTTTGATGAATTGTGTCGAACTATTGATGAACGAAGTGAATTTATAACACTTTTTTGTAAGTTTTAGTTTAAAATTGTTAAAAACAGTATTCGGAAATAGAATGTTTAGCAAAAAGCTATACAGCGGAAGAATGTCGTCGAACAATCTATGGAACATATCATTTTACATACGAATTTCGTGAAGGTGGTATTGGCATTTGTGATAATCCAACCTCACGTTTAATATCTTGTCCTGATCCTGGAACTCCATTTGAAGCAATAAATCAACGTTTTAGAATGGTATATGGATATTGTAAACATTTGACATCTTCGTTTGATGCTGATCAATTAAATCAATGTCTTGGTTCATGGATAACTAATGATGGAAATATAATAACTGCCATTGCTAATGAACGTGTTGGATCAGAACGTTGGTATGATAAATTTCGTTGTATGTTATCACGAAAAGATCAACCACAATGGTTTGCCAAATCTTTATTTGCTGAATGTTCTTCTTTATCAAGTCCAACAGATGGACCAGAAAAAGTTATTATTACACCTATCATTCCAGAAGAAGTTAGTTATCTATTTTCGATTTTAAATATGAATATTATCTTTCATTTCGTTAAAACTTTCAAGAGAAGTATTCGAAGTATTTCCTTGGCTTAGAGTTCATATTTTTCCCACAAGTAAACCAAACCTCAGTGTTAATGGTAAAGCCTGATAGGATTTGTGCCCATGAGCTGTCGAAGCTGACTTATGAGCATTACACTGGATTTTTAGTTTGAGGCAAGGTATTCATAGAAAAATCGAACGATGGTATTTTGACTTTAAATTTTGTCCATAAAGATACTTCGTGGTTGTTACAATGTTCTAAAAATTTCCGTCAAAACGAACCCCTCACCCTTGAGATATTGAATGACTAAAAAAATGATCATGTGTCATAGGAAAGTCAGGAAATTGAATAGTTGTGAAAATTCAGTGTCTCAAGAATACAGGATTCACTCCGACTGAAATTTTTAGGACATTCTAATAACCATGAGATCTCTCGAATCTGACTAAGTAGTAATTAAAAGACCACATTTTATAAAAGTAAATTAAATTAAGTTTTTACTTTATATGATAGATACACTCCCTCTCCAATATAAATCAAGATGATTTGTTTTTGTTTTTATAAAACACAATTCTAAATAAAATATCGATACGAAATAAAATTTAAATATGGTTATAATAAATAATTATTTTTATTTTAAAGCCAACAGCATCATGTTATTTTCCAAGCAATTTAACAGGTCAATGGATAAATACCGCAAATGTAAATGCTCGTGTATTGATAAATGCAACACATATACATGAAATAGCCAAAGTTAATAATCGTGGTTGGCTAAGAGAAACTTATTATGTTTGTCAACAAACATCTCGTAGTCAATATTTAGTTAAATCTGTTACCAAAGGAGAATGTTTTTCATATTATATTTGTTTCGATTTTAAAGATCGTCATCATAATATACTAAGATATAGAAAATCAAAATCATTTATGTCGAATTTATATAATTTATTTCCAAATCGTGATCCTTTTTATGAAGTTTGTTCATGGGCAAGTTTTGGTAATGATGCCAATTGGAAATATCAAGTTTTTGTTTTGGATCCTCCAGCTCCTATTGAATGTCCATTTACTGGTATGTGGACATTTAAACAAGTTGGTCAACCTAATTCATTAATTCAAACAAGAATTCGTGGTGGTATAACACCTCGACCACGTGATCATGGTTGGTATATAACATGTGATCCACAATATATGGTATCACAATGGACAATATGTGGTGATCAAACAAAATCCATGTTTGCTGATCGTGAATATTGTCGACAATTAGATCCATATGGAACACCCATTGGTGTTTATGAACAACCAGATTATATATATCAATGTGCTGGTTATTGGAGAGAAGATTCTCGATCAATGATGGTTACATATGATCGTGATGATCCTTATAATAATTATAAATGTTGGGTTTATGAAAGAAGAGATTTAACAACGATAACATTATCAAGATCAGCTGGTTCAGCTTGTGGTTTTAATCAAACATCTGAAAGTTATAAATCGGATGATGGTGCTGATCTTGCTGTAACACTTATTGAAGCTGAAAGAATTCGTAAGTTGTTTGTTTTTTGATTTTTTAAAATTGTATATAAAATAATCTAATAATAGATGATGATTGTCCAATTCGTTATGATGATGGTCGAAATGTATTTATTGATTTAGAAGAATTTCATTTTTACTATGCCAAATCTTCAATGATTTATCTGAGCAAATGTTTTCTTTGCTTTTTTATTTTTATTTCATTCATATTATTTAATTAATAATTCGTTATTGCATTTTGTTAATTCATAATCATGTCATTTGTCAGATCTTTTTCTTCAAAATTTTCTTTGTTCTTTTTTTGTACATTATATTTCGATAATTTCTGTCAGATTTTTGTCGGTTTTTTTTTGTTGATAAATCAATAATTAAATATGTAGGTCAGATCAATTTTTTGACAATTTCATAATAAAATCCAAAAAGATTCTTTTTTTTTCTTCTAGATAACTAGAATATTCACTGACAAAAAAATCAATGAAAAAGATCTTTTGCAAAAAAGAAGGATTTATGCTAATTCAACCATTGCTTTATGGATCTTTTCTTTTTCACAGTTTTCTCTAATTGCAATTGGATTAATGCTTGTAATAAAAATATAAAAAAATATTTATTTTTTTAATTTTTTTAGATAATAATAATAATAATAATAATGCGGTTGACAAAAGCATTGATATTATTATTAGTCACGTTAATTGAGAAAACAGGTTTTTGAATAAATAACATTGAATTAAATAAAATTTAAAAAAAAAAATTTTTTTTATAACATTTAGTAAAAAGTCAAATATTGTGTACATTCGATCGTCCATTATTGGGTGAATATTATTCGTATGAAAATGGTCTTGAAACTCATACATCATTAAAAGAAAATGGAGATATTGATAGACTTTTTTATCGTCGAGAATCAGGCCGTGGTGCTACTGCTAATATAATAACAGTTCTTGATAATCATGCTATGGGAGAATGTTTTAATCTCATTTGGAGAGAAAATCCGTTTGATCATGTTTCAAAACATCATTTTGAACTTATTTATAGAGATAAGTAAGTTGATTGTTTTTATTATTAATATGATAAAAACAAATAAAATGTTTTATCTGAAAGGGAAAAATCATGTTATCAATGTTATCAACTATATAATCGAACACGAAATATTCTTCAAATAAGAAAAAGTGAATGTAATGAAATAACATCAATTGTAACAAATCAAATGAATTTTCAAGATCTTTGTGCAAGTATTAATCTAGATGCTGATTTTGATACATTATTTTGTTAGTTTAATTATCTATTTTATTTTCTTGATTTTTGTTTTTCATTAATTTTTTTGTTTTATTTAATTAAATAGCAAAAACATATTCAGCTGAAGAATGTCGTGCAACAATATATGGAACATATCATTTTACATATGAATTTCGTGAAGGTGGTATTGGTATATGTGATAATCCAATATCACGTTTAGTATCATGTCCTGATCCTGGAACTCCATTTGAAGCTGTTAATGAACGTTTTTGGATGACATATGGTTATTGTCGAGATCTTGTTTCATCCATTGATGCACAACCACTTTATCAATGTTTGGGTTATTGGATTAATGATAAAGGTGATGTATTTACTGGTATTGCTAATGAACGTGTTGGATCAGAACGTTGGTATGATAAATTTCGTTGTATGTTAACACGTCAAGATCAACCCCAATGGTTTGCTAAATCTTTATTTGCTGAATGTGCTCGACTTTATTCACCAACTGATGGACCAGAAAAAGTTATTATAACACCTATTATTCCGGAAGTTCCAACACCAACTTGTTTTTTCCCAGATAATTTTACTGGAGAATGGGTTAATACAGCTAATGTTAATGCACGAACAATAATTAATGCAACACATATACATGAAATATCACAAGTTAATAATCGTGGTTGGCTAAGAGAAACTTATTATGTTTGTCAACAAATAAGTCGACAACAATATTTAGTTAAAACAGTGACAAAAGGAGAATGTTTTTCATATTATATTTGTTTCGATTTTAAAGATCGTCATCATAATATACTAAGATATAGAAAATCAAAATCATTTATGACAAATGTTTATGACGATTTATCAAAACGAGATCCACTTTATGAAGTATGTTCATGGATTAGTTTTGGTAATGATGCCAATTGGAAATATCAAGTTTTCGTTTTGGATCCTCCAGCTCCTATTGAATGTCCATTTACTGGTATGTGGACATTTAAACAAGTTGGACAACCTAATTCATTAATTCAAACAAGAATTCGTGGTGGTATAACACCTCGACCACGTGATCATGGTTGGTATATAACATGTGATCCACAATATATGGTATCACAATGGACAATATGTGGTGATCAAACAAAATCGATGTTTGCTGATCGTGAATATTGTCGACAATTAGATCCATATGGAACACCCATTGGTGTTTATGAACAACCAGATTATATATATCAATGTGCTGGTTATTGGAGAGAAGATTCTCGATCTTATTTAATAACCTATGATCGTGATGATCCATATATTAATTTTAAATGTTGGGTTTATGAAAGAATTGATTTATTTAAAATATATCTTTCACGATCAGCTGGATCATTTTGTGGTTTTAATCAAACATCTCAAAGTTATGAAGCACAAGATGGAGCTGATCTTAAAATTGAACTTGACGAAGCTGAGCGAATTCGTAAGTTATTTATTTGAATAAATTTGATTGAATATTATATTTATGAATAATAGATGATGATTGTCCAATTCGTTATGATGACGGTAAAAATCCATGGCAAATTGTTGACGAATTTTTATTTTATTATGCATCAGCAAGGCAAATAATGCCGTCCTTATTTCTTTATATTTTTCTCATAATATTATTTCTAATTTTTTTTTAACCAGTATATTACAGTGACATGACTTTTTTTTTTTTTTTTTTACAATTTAATCTGTGTTTTTTTGGTGTACATTCCATAAATGACTATAACAGTTTTAGTGATCTTTATATGTTTTTATTATTCATTTATTGTCAATAAATGTAAATGTTAGGAACACACGACTTTTTTTTATAATGGCAATTGAATATATTATCGGTTTCGGAATAAACGAAGAAAAAAGGCTAAGAATCAAAGATAAACATTGTCAAATCATAAAAGCGACTTTATATTTGTAATAAATATTTTTCATTGAGATTAAATAGAAGAAATTATGACATATGAAATCTGATTATAAATTCGATAAATAATATTCTTAATGAATTTGAAATGTTTCGAATAATTTAAATCAATGTTTAGATTTAAATAATTAAAGAGATTATCTATATCATTTTATTGACAGTTTTATTCTAGCATTCAATTACATAGGAATTAGAGTTTCATAGAACTAATATCACTTTCAAAAGACAATTTGTTTTCTTAAGAGAAACATTGATAAATGAGCGAAAATATTGATGAAATAAACTAAAAAAGTTTGTGTATGACGATGTTTCATGAAGAATAATAGAAGAGGGTTTGTTTTTTTTATGAATATTTACATATACTGTTTTCTGTCTGAAAATAAAAAAACTAATTATAAACAAGTGAAGAATAACAATTCAATAGATCAAATATTTTCAAGTTAACCTGATATATGCTCGAAACTATAAAATTATTTATTTAATTAAAATAATAATCAATTTCAGGTCATTCTTAAACAAATGTCAAATAAACAAACAATAATTCCTGACCAATTAGCTTTTTCTTTTCTTACTAAATATTGTTTTATTAGAAACCTAATGGCGATGATATCCACCTAAGAGGCCACCAGAATAGAAAAAATAACGAGATACAAGCTTGCCTTCATTCATCTATATTGTATTCGTCTCGGATAATAGTCGACATTATGGTAAATATATTTACTTGACTCTTATGTTTTTGAAAATAAAATCTTCATGGATAGCTTTAGTATTATTGAGTAATTTGACAAATGCATTCAATTTCAGTACATTATTAAATATATTTGATAATGAAAATAAGAAGTGATTTTATTATATGAAAAATTTTAATTTCTGATTGTCTATTTATTTTAATTATTTATTTTGCCGAACGTTTTTATTTTTTAATTATTTTATGTTAATAGAAATAAATCAAGTGGACAATTCAAATGAAAGTGGATGATTAAATGTTCAGTTATACAATAAAATATATTAGAAAGAAACAACAATATACATCAATCTTCCTGATTTGTTTTTGGTTCATATAACACATTCTTATATGTATACTGGCCAGCAGTCATTTCCAGGTAGATAAAGACAGAAAAGAAAAAGTGTCTTCTAGACAGATTTCATAGTTCTATGTATATATCATCAACCGAGAAAATATTTCTTTGAAATAGTTTTATATTTAAACAAGATTATTTAATATTTATCTTATTTTGTGAACAAAATTTTAAAATGAAAAATAATATCTGATTCGTTTTATTAGATTTAGTCAATTTGAAGATGATATTTATTTTGTTAACTGTAGATTGATAAATAGATATTATAGAAAAAAAAAACTATGATAAGAAGTTGAAATAATAATTGAATTGCATGAATATTTTTAAAAAAAATGTTTTCATGTTATTTATCTTTGATACGAGTAAATATACATAATTATTATAAGTAAACTTCCGATGATATCTATTTGAAACAATTTTACTATTTCATTCAATTCAAATCATTTTATTATTATTATTATCTCGAAAAACATAATTATTTCAGATGGACTTAGTTTTTTGTACTTTTACAAAGTTTATTTTTATTTGAATAAATCTATATTCTCATTTATCTAAACAAAATTCAATATTTTTTCTTCATTAAAAATTTAAATCATAAGAAATAATTTAAACGATATAATCGAACTAATAATAAATATATCGATTTAATATATAGAATAAATAATTTTTAAGATTTTGAATTTATTTATATTAAAACACAAAAAGAAAACTATTGATTAGATTAAAATAAAACATATTGTCTGAATATTTGTATTTCTAATAAATATTATCTTATTAATATACTCATTTGGTTAGATATAACAATCATCTCTAACACATTATGTTATACTTTCTTTCTTTTTTTTTGTAAACTTTCATAATCCTTTTTTTCTTACTTTATATCTACTATATAATTAATGTATCTATTCGGATGCTTTAGAAAAAAAAGAAAAGAAAATATTGATTGAATGATAAGAACAATAATCTCTTGTTGAGAATAAGAAAATAGTAAAAGAAAAAAAGAACAAAATATAGTCTACAAATGAAATCTGCCGAACATCCGACAAGTTAAAACAAGAATTAATTTATCTTTTTTTTTTTTTTTTTCCCTTTTTTCTTCTTTTCTATATTCCATTGACATAAAAGACAATCGACTATGAATTCTATATATTTAACTTGTTTATATTGAAGAATATTTAAATTGTTCATCGATATAAATTAGTTAAAGTACATTTTATTTACTTTTTTAAATATAAACCACAAAAAAACAAAATATGTTTTAACATTTCATTATCATCAGTCATGAGACAAAAACGGCAAATACGATGTTAACGGAAGAAAAAAAAACACATAGTGAAAATTGAGAAAGTTCTTCTCAGTCTTTCTCGGTTTTTTTTTTTCTATTTCGACTATTTTAATAAAAAGGATTGGCTGAAGTAAAAGAGTGAGAAGTTCTCTTCGACCGTCTTTTTCTTCTTCTTTTCATCATCATCAAAAGGAAACTACAGGCAAGAACAAGGAGAAGAAGAAAAAAAAAATGTTGATGATTAACGATTATTATCTATATTCGAGAGATGAACTATATCATTAATTGGCCTCACGGGAATTCTTCAATGCTTTTTAGTTCAAAATTAAAATAAAGAGAAAAAATTTTTTTTTTTTTTAAAAAGAAAGACATTTATTTCTTCTTAAACTCAATGTCTTTTATTTGTTATGTCATCCACTGGTCGAAATATCGATAAACCATTAGAACTTATTCAAAAGACATATAATTTACAAACAACAACAAATAATAATGAAGGTTCTTCTCAAACTCATCCATCTATAATTAAAGTATCAACTCATCAACCATCGAGAAAAACATCTGTTCATGATATACATGAAGTTACCAAATATGATCTTGATAAAGTTCTTTTTTTTATTTAATAAAATAAAAATTTCTTTTATTTATTTATTTCTTTATTAGATGTTTGGAGAAATTCAAGAAAATCTTTCTCGTTTAAAATATTTATTAGAAACAATGAATTCTGTTTCAACAATTCGTGATGATTTTTTTAAATTAAAACATCAAATATTTAATAAAATAACTGATTTTATTTATAAATTAGCTAATGAATCAGGAAAAAGGTTTGCTTTTTTTTTTTCATTTATTTATTTATATCTATATTTACATCTTAAAAAATAAATATTTTATTAAATATAGAGCATCAGTTAGTTCGAAAGCAAGTGCATCAAATATATTATCTCATCATCCTCAAAATCTTGTTTATTGTATTGAATATTTTCGAAATGAACTTGTTAAAGCTCAATATTTATTTTCTTCATTAATATCATCAGCTTCTATTGGTTTAGCTACTTTAAATAATGTTACAATAAAACCTTTTCCGATTTCAAATATGGATCAAAAAGCGGAAAATAATGAAGATATTCAAAATATGCAAGATATCATGCAAATAAAAGCGTATTATTTATTTAATATATATATATAAATAAAAAAGAAACAAGAGTTTATATTTTAGAGACATATCAATTTTAGAAGAACATGCATATGTATTAAATCAACGTTATTATAGTCAAATACCAGATATGCATGAATCAGGTATGTTAATTCATAATAATAATTATAAATAAAATGTTTGATATATACAAATAGATGATCTATTAGAAAAATCGTTGATGGCTGCTGGTGGAAGATTGATCGATTCAAATCCATTAAATGTTCATCGTTTACGATTTGCTCCAATAAATGACAAAATGTCGAGACGATCTTCATTAGCATCAAATGAAAATTCAACCTTTTGTGATCGATTTTATCAAAAATGTCAAATAATCTGTTGCATGTGTCGACCAAATTATTTATAATCTAATTAAATAAATCAATTTATTGAACATTTATTTAAATGATGCAGGCATCTGTTTTTTTTTTAATTTCGACTCTTATTCATTTTAAAACTAATATCAACAGAAACAATATTAATTCGAGAACATTTCTATTTTCTTTGTTAAATTAAACAAAATATCGGTGCAAAACAGTATTTTTTTTTATTATCTTCATAGTTAAATAAATTTTCTATTGATGTTTATTATTGTGAAAAAAAATTGTTTTTTTTTGCGATTAATTCTTACTTAGAAATAAAAAATAAACATCATTCTTTCCTTTTTTATTCATTTTTATTTTAAAATAATATTTAAAACAACCTTTAAAAAAACCATCGTAGTAATATATTTATTGTCCATTCGGAAAATCTAGGCAAAAATGCAATTGGCAATCGATTTGTATAATAAATATGTTTTTAAGGAAAGTATCAATGATACTTGAGAAGATAATCAAGTTGAAAGAAAGAAAGTCTTTTTACTTTTATCATATAAGCCGTGAATGAACGGATGATTTGATATAAACGGAAGTTCTTTTCAAATGTTCATCTTATATATATTTCTACTGAAAAAAAAACATGATGTCTTTTTGACTAATGAGAACGATTGAATTATAAATTACATAATTAAGTTCATTTATAAAATTAAGATTTGAATATTCTTAATTATTTTCAATAAGAATATTATTCAATAAAACACATAAATCAATTTTAAATAAAACATTCACTTTAATTTTCATTTAATAATACTAATTAAATATCATATAGTGAAGCTTTTCATTTATATAAAT